AATAGGTTTATATAGATAGATCATGGGTTTGCTTGCAACTAGAATGATAATCAACCTTGAGATGCAAAAATATCATCATTTATCTGGGTTCGTGCCCAGGGAGGCCTTCCGATCTTTGATTTGGATATGAAATATGATGATAGTCAGGATTATCGTCAGGAATCAATCATTAAATCGAATTCATGATCAAATTCTATTCTTTAAATTCTATTATTTTATTCAATTTTAATATTGATTTGGAATATTTACGAAATTCCTTCAGAATTATGTCGCAAATATTGCTCATGGAAATCTCTATATATTCTAATTCATTCCATGCAAATTTCCTAGGCAATCTTGGCACCGACCATTCCCTTCAATAAAAATAACATTAATTTATATTTATATTCTATTTATTCGCCAAACAATTTATTGTTGGGGTTCTATCTTAGAAAGAAAAAGAGTTGGCCACACTCACTGGCCGCGCCCCTGAACTCTGTGGCTGGGGTGTGTGGCTGGGCTCTGTGTCTGTGCCTTGTCCTCCTCTTGTCCTCTGTGGCTGGGCTCTGTGTCCAGGCCTTGTCCTCCTCTTGTCCTCTATGGTTGGGCTGTGTATCCAGGCCTTATCCTCCTCTTGTCCTCTGTGGTTGGCAGGCCTTGTCCTCTGTGGTTGGGCTCTGTGCCCAGGCCTTGTCCTCTAGCCACCAATGCACGGATTGTGCAACCACAAAGGCAGACTCTACAAGCTCGACCGGCTCGAACCCATACTTGTCGTCGTAGAAGTTAAAAAGCCACCAGATTGAACAACCTCATGAGAATTTCGTTGATAGCAGCCGAACGACGGTTGTAATTATATATTGCCGACACGAACCCAAATGAATGACCCACCATGACAAAGAATGCAAGTTGACCCGAATTAGGATCTTTCAAACAAATTTCCTGTGCTCTGGACGGATCCCAATTGCCTTGCGCTCACCCAGAACCCATCCAACAAACTTCGAGCCAGGTAGGAACGATCTCATTAAAATAAGCGCGGCCACATTGGTGTCTGTCGGCGGCAATTGGAGCTTCTCCGTGATCACGATGATCTGATTGATCAAATTCGTAATTGCACTATCACAACCACGAACGTTATTCTTTTGGACCACTTCGAACCTCTGAGTAGGGATCCATTCGCCATTGCCGAATAGGTTAATCACTTCTTCAGGCGAGCGGAAGGGGCCCAGTGTTGAGCCCTCTGTAGAGTGGCCTCCCAAATCTTTGCCAGATTCTCAGAGACAGGCATTCCTTTCACCCGAACAATGATCTTCGACCCAATCCTCCAGGCACTATCAATGGCATACTAAACAGGTAGTTGAGATTGAGTCTTTTCGTAAGGCGGCCACCGCCGCGAACGGGCGGAGGAGGTCTGGCAAAAAAGGCATCGATTGAATCATATGTCCGGAACATCTCATAGTAGAACGCGATGGGGCAACATTGATATCAAGCACCAGCGGTTCAGAATCAGGAACACCCCGCAGGAGCTTCCGTGGCGCTTGATCCTGCATTGCAGCAAGCAAAGCGTCAGTGGTTCGCAGCAAAGTTTCGGCTCGATGGCTCCAATGTTGCAGAGCGACCTTACGCTGCTGCTAGATTTGAGTCGGATGCTGAGCAAATTGGAGGATCGTGGCCCGGAGGAAATCGTCCAATTCCACGTCCACGGACAACGGATGAAGGATAGCGAGCGACCATGCGATCGCAACCCCCGGTTCCGTCTCCACATCGAACAAAGGTTTTCGAGTGCCTCGCTTCAGCTGGTAGCCCGCCTCCTCTGCCTTGAGGGTAGTCAATCACGCCAATGAAGGGGTTGTCCCACAGGTGCGGTCAAATTGAAATTCGCCATGAATTGTGGTAGTAAGGTGTCCCAACAGATGGAGATGCAATTTGCCATGGGTGAACACATGCGAGCAGGGTGCACCTGTGCAAGCTTCATTCGAAAGACCTCCTTCTTGAAAAAGGCTCGTCAGACCTTGCCACGCAGACGAACATAACGATGACCTCCAATGCAGCGACGCTCCAGCTTTATGAAAACCTGCTGCGAAACCAATAACGTAGTGGGCTTCATTGAGGGAGCACCAAATTTATATTGATCAAAATTCGCCAGAAAGGCCCTACAAATGCGAGCCAGTGTCTTGGTCGGCGGGACGCCCCACAGAAGATTCGCCTTAGGATTTTCGATCGAGAAGTTCCCACCTTGAACGAAGACAATTACACATTCTTCTGCCGAACGGAACAAAAACAAGTTGCCCAGAAAAAACATATTCCTATTATCTTTCGAGAGGTCAGGGAGGCCCCAAAGTCAAGGCTGCCGATCACAATGGCGGAGGGCCACCATCAAGTTTCCGAGCACTTGAAAAGGTATTGCGTAGGATGCCACAGTGGAAAAACATAATAGCTCCTGACTTGCACAAGGTTAAGATGAAATCCCAATGTTTAGCATCCACAACATCGAACGGTATTAGAATTTCTTCGCGTACAATCGATCGGCGGCAAGCAAGGAATGTTCAGCGAGCGCACGGCCTCAATTAGATTTGCAGTGTCCGAGAACGTCTTCAGAAATCATGGTCCGTATTGATGAACAAGATCAGAATCCCGAGGAACATTATTCCATGAGCGTTAATCAGGGCGAGCTGCCGGTACTATCAGCTGGGGCGAAGCACCTTCATCCGTGCCGCAAGCCTCAACACAAATCTGTCGGGGGACCGCCTAAGCCAAAGGCCGACCTCCCATGATTAAACTTGTTCAGTGATTGCCGTGCCAAAGATGGTTTAACACAGCTATGACCTT